AGAAGGGTGTCTTTCTTTTCCGTCTAAAACCCCGTCCTAAACTAAAACCCTCTTGCGTTGTGTCTGAATCCATTTCTCCTCTGTGCTGGATCAACAGGAATGGTAAGCATGAAGCTGCTCTTTCAGGCTCGCCGTGTCGCCCTCCCTACATACTCCTCTCCGTTCAGATCCCTCTCCTCTTCCTCCCCTCAACCATACCCTACCTCAAATCCTTCCCAATCATCGTCAGAATCTCCTCTTGGAAGTCGCCTACTAGTTCCCATCCAACCAATTTCCTACGCCCCCAAACCCAAAGTTGAATCCCAACAGCAAGAACCATCACCCTCCAACCAAATCCCTCGAAAACCATTTGAAAATCGCCGTCAGGCAGTCACTCAAGAGTCTCCCTCAAGCTGGACCCCTGAGGACCTCCGGTATGTCAAAAATATGCCCAGCGTCATGCCCGTGTCTTACCCTACCAGGGTTGCCCCGCTTCCGGAGGACCGTGCGCCCCAACTTGAGGAAGGGCGGAAGGTAATGGATGAGGCCCGCAAGCAGGAGGAGAGTGAGGAGATGGGGAGAGAGAGGCAAAGAGTTGAGATGGAGAATCGAGAGATGAGGAGGGCTTTCAGAATTGCAGTAGAGGAAGAGAAGGCCGTGTTTCCTTTCCCCACATTGATTAAGCCTGAGAAGAAGAGCGAGAAGAGGCCTGTTCTTGACTTGATGGACGCCATTAGGCAAGTCAAGGTCGGCACAATCTTCTACTTTCTAAGAATTGAACTCTCTTAATGGCAGTTTCACTACTTATTGATACATAGAGCAGAATCAGTAACGAAGAGCATAATTTTTCAACCAACTTTTGATGAATCGTTGAGATTCTTGAGAATCATTCTATACGTTTTAGACTGCAGTTGGTAGGGAAGAAGTCATGTGTGAAGCCTTGTGAGAAAAACTGCTATTACTTAGTGCTAGAAAATTAAATTCTGCAATTGTTATTAACATATGAGATCTGAGGTCTGTATGGTCATGATAGCCATAAGTCAAGGACCTGGATATTAAGTAACAGAATTGCCGTGCAATGTAATTTTGCTTTTACAGTTTAATTCTATCTTGTTTTGTTTCTAGTTGTTGATAATTGGGTTTGTTATTTCTAGTAATTTTTCAGGCTAATGCCAAGGCAGTGTTTGATGAGATTGTTGAATCTCATGGACAATTGGCTATTGATCAAAAGCAATCTGAACTGGTGTGTGTCAAATTCAAGAGAGCAGAGTTTTTTTTTTTTTCTTTTTATTTTACTTCATTTTGCAAATATATATTGCACATGATGAATCTATTGGGAAAACCTTGAGGATATTTGGTAATGGTTTGGCTTTGTATTTGACTAGTTTTTTATTATCTTATTTATTTACTCTTAATGGGTTTATTTCAGCTGTAGGTAGAACATGTGCAGAAAGCAATTCCTTCTGTCGTGTTTAGAACTTGTTGCTTGGGCTAATTTGCTGCTGCACTGCCATTTCTATATTATTAATTTTACATCAGTGTATTGTAGTTTAATGCTTTGCTGGTTTTGTTTCTGATTTACCCCTTCTCTCTCTCGTATTGGTCAAGAAAAGTTTTTTCTTTATTTGTTCTCTCTGAGGACTTTCCATGTGCAGAAAGCAGGGTTGAAAACTTTTTTCTTTTATGGCAAAAATGAAATTCCCCATGCATGTTTACATCATCATTGCAGTTGCATAAGTATTACCTTTCAATTGCTTTGTGGTTGAGGTTTGTACTGTGCCAATGCAGGTGCTGGGAAGATTGACTTTGACAGATGTTTTTCAACTCCTAAAATCATGCCTAAGCTATTTTTAAGGTTCTTAATCTTTGAACAGCATTCCTTTTTTTTTTTTTTTTTTTTTGGCCAAGATCTTTGAACAATCTTTCAAATTGTGCAACTGCCTATTTAAATTGCCATTTTGTTCAATAATGTCCTTTCCTCTCTTTCCTTCTTGCAGATATCAAGGATTCTTAATCAGCATGGTCTGATGCCAAATCCTAAGGTAAGTTTTTTATTATGTGTTTTCTTGTTTATGCTCAGATAAATATTTTAGTATTTTAGTCACTGTAATCACAGTTGATTTGTCTTTTATAGCAAGGTACTGTAACCAAGGATGTAACAAGAGCAATAAAAGAAGCCAAAGAGGGTCAAGTAAAATTCCGAATGGACAAGACATCAATTGTGCATGTCGGACTTGGAAGGGTTGCATTATCTAAATCTCAAAACATCATCCTTGGCTTTAGTTGGAAGATGTGTGCTGATATAAAAGAAAAACACAAATGTGTTGATGCTGACTTTGCTGTATGCAAAACTCATCATACAGGTGAGCTTTTCAGAGGAGTCTTTGCATGACAATATTGGTGCATTTATGAATGCGCTTTTGCTAGCAAAGCCTGCCGGCTTGAAGAAGAGTAAGTGCAATATTTTCAGTCTTTTGAAGGTCACTTTATTTGCCAGGAGATATCTTCCTTGAGTAGGCATAGATTTGTTGCGTAAACTCAGCTTCAGCATTTGAATTTGTCCTCATTCAGAAAGCTTTCCACTTCTCTTTTTGCAGCTTCTAAATATGCTGGGTATGTGAATTCCTTCCATATATGCAGCACAGTAAGCTTATTATCTAGGTTCCATGTGTCTCTGATTGAATTGTTAATTGATTTCTATGCTGCATGGACACTCTAGCAGAATGGAGTTCAATCCATATAAAACATTGAAGCTTCCTCCATACCTCCTTGTCTGACAATATTCCAAGTATTTTGAAATTTAAAAAGAAGATGTTTGTACCTAAATAATGTAACTACATCAAGCAGAAATTATGAAGATTTGCACAACTATGTAAGAAATACTTGTATTAGGGTAACATTGCATTAAGTCTAAAAACGGGTAACATTACATCACCATATCTTTCTTTCTAAAAAATTTTATGAACATGTCTGTGAAATTCTTTACTTTTGTTTATGTTTACATCTGCTCTCATGGATTCGTGTAGAGTGATTCTTAGGGAAGAAAATAAACTCCCTTGGCCATCACCTGGACTGGGGCTTTAAGATCAGCCTATGCATACATGACCTTATTGTCTTCTAATGAGAACTTTCTCACGAGGGAGTAATGTTGATCTAGCAATCAGAGGATCAGAATACCAACTAATGCTTGAGTCCCTTGTTGCTTGGGTCCCTTTATGTCCCATGTAGATGCCAAATTTGCAAGTTGAGAGTCACAACGTGGCTTGTTTCCAAGTACAATTAGAGTGACACTGACAAAAGATGTGAGTATCTGAAGTGAGAGACAGTAGTTATTCCTGTTATCTCTCTGTGTTCTTTTCCTGGGGAAGGAGCAACAGGGGAAAGGGGGAGGGGGGGAATAGTGATCATTGTATACTAAGAAGATGTTTTCCTACCTTTCTCTGGCTGTTAGAAACTTAATGAAGTCCAACATCTTAGATGCAGGTTCAAGGTTTTGGGAATAGAATGTAATTTAGGCACAAACACATATCATGGTTGCATATGAACATAAAGCGTGATCTAAAGTCAATCTATCGTTGTTCTGCATATGGATGAGATAATGATGCAGGAGCATAGAGCTTCTTTTAATGATTAGTTTTAGGGCTGTTTGTTTTGCATTAAGTTTGAGTTTTATTTGAAATCTAAGTTTAAATTTTAGGAAAGTCATTCTTAATTAGGATTAGAATTAGTAGCTTATTAGAAGTTCAATGCTTATTAGAAGTTCAAATTAGAATTGAATTAGGATTCTTAGCTATTGTTAGTAT